CTTTAGCTTGAAATGCCCTAACCCGTAACCTTCTCTCTTCCTCTTCCGCACGCCGTTAAATCTCTTCATCTCTCTCTCTCTAACTCTTTCTCGTCAAATTTCAGCGACAAAAAATGGCTCCCAAGGCAGAAAAGAAGGTGGTCGTCGGCGGAGAGAAGAAGAAGAGGACAAAGAAGAACGTGGAGACGTACAAGATCGACATCTTCAATGTGTTGAAACAGGTTAACTCACAAACCCTCCACCCTTTAAGCGCCGCTCCCCCTCCGTCTAGTGCCGCTCCTCGGAATTTGTGGAGTCCTCTGTCTCCGTCGCCGTGAGATTAGAGGCCAAAGTCAGGGAAGACGTTGTTGAGTTTTTGCCGCCGCCGCGAGATCGGAGACCAAAGTAAGGGTATATTAATTTTTTGGGTACTTTTTCATTTTTTTAGATTTTTGTGTGGTTGTGGTTTGATCAATCATTTTGAGTCCTCCGCCGCCGCCAAATTATGAGGTTAAAGTATCTTTCTCCCTATTCGTCTATCTCCTCTCGATCTTAGTCTGTGTTTTGGTGTTTTCTGGTATAAAATTTAGTTGCAGCAATAAAAATTTTATGTTGAAGAACATGGATAACAACATGCCAATTAGAGAGAATCAACTATGTAGTCATGTATAGTTATATATAAAGTCATGTATAGTTATATATAAGATATGTAACTTTTTTTTAATGTATAGTGATGCTGACGGTTGTTTTAGTTGAAAATTTTACACATGTGAATCTTGAATGGGCCATGCTAAATCCTACACTAAAATTTACTATATCCCATACATAAATTAAAAAAAAAATCTCTCTCTACTCAAATTTTTTCTAACTTCTCTCTAAAATGACTTTATCCAAGTCACTCAATTCATTATTTTTTACGTGAATAATCATAAAAAATGAGTTCCATTTTATTTAATATTTATTCAATTTCATTAAATATTTTTAATTATTCAAATTCATATGAATTCGATTTTTTTTCTCAAATTCCAACTTTACTTTAGTTTGAACATGTGAATTTTTTTTCAAATTCGAACTTGGAATTCTAAGAATGTTTTTAGTGTGTGATTTTGTGAAAAAGTTATGGAAAAAGAAGGATGAGGAAGCCGAATAGAAGATTTTAGTGAGATAAATATTTTTAGTTATGTGCATGATGTAGTAAAAATAGTGTGGGATTTAACATTTCAGATCTTGGATACATATTGTGGGAATACAAGTTGACTTGTAATAACAAGATTAAATTATGATTTTTTTTTTTTTTTTTTTTGTGAATGTTGATTGATTATTTCATTAATAATAGTCTTTTTTTTTATAATTTGTTTAATATGACTGAGCTACATTATATAATCGAGAATATACAATTATAAGTTGAAAATATAAAAACCGATATATGAAGCAAGGATATGACTATAGTTGAGTACTATAGTCATATTCGAAATAGTATGTAAACTTTTCAGGAAAAAAATCAGATTTTTTTTAAGAAAATAAAATGTATATTTTATTATTATTAAATAAAAAATTTATTAAAAAATAAAACGAAAATGCTAAATGCCCTTGGTGGAAATGTTGAATGCAGTTAGGGCAAAAATTGTATGTAAGGGGCATCATTGTGTTTTTGCCTATTAGAAATAAAGAATTTAGGGGGCGGAATTAACGGCTCCTTCGATCCTACACCCGGTGAAAAACACCGGGTGAAGGATCGAAGGAGCCGTTAATTCCGCCCCTTAATTTCATAATTTCTAAAAGGCAAAAACGCAATGAGGCCCCTAAGAGAAAATGAAAGAAAAAACTGGTTTAAACATGGCGGATTAAGAGGGTATTACCAAGTGTTTGTTTTCACATATCCTAAGTAGAGAATTTTGACAATCGCTCCATTTTTTTCGAACTGAAAAAAAAAAGTC